GCCTCTATCCATATATACTAGTATAGTAATTCCAATTCGCTGATTGAAAATTGATCCCTAGTTCCATGACTACGTAACCCGTCTGTCGCCACATCTCCTCAATTACCCGAGCTTTATCCCGCCGAAGCCGGTGGGTGACAATAACACCAACAATAATGATAAGGATGATAATGATAATAACGAAAATAATAATACCAACCGCAATGGCAATGGCAATGACAGGGAAAATATAACTACGACCTTACTATCTCAAACACAGCCGACAGCGCTCGACAATGCCCTGCGGGAAATAATCAGTCGGCTCCGGCCGTTCCAACTTACGAAGGCGGAAGTGCTCATGATTGTGAATCTGGGCATAGGGTTGGGTGTTAGTGGCGAAACGGGAGACGGGGAAGGGGAGGATGGCGTCACGATCACGACTGCCTCTGCTGTTACGGAGGAAATGGTAGATGAGATGGAAGTTGACGGCGGTGCGAGTGGGCAACCAGGAAGAGATGTATATGGAGGTATTGATGAGGAAGCTGACTATGGAGCGCTTGCGTTGCTGGATACCGTTATTGAGGATCGCGAGGAGAGGTTGAGTACTGAGGATGTTGGGGAGATACTGAGGATTGTTAGGGAGACGTTGGGGAAAAAGGGGAAGGGAAAAGGGGGAAGTGCTGCTGCCGGTGTAACGGCGGGGTGATATTTACATCTATTTTCACTGCCCATATCCGTCTCGTTCATTTTGCAACGGGGTTATTCTTTTATTCTGTTGTACATGTATATTATCCCTGGCGTTCAGGCGGGAACCAGGCCGTCATTGCCTTCTTGCATTGCTCTTTTCAAGATTAATGATCAATACCCAAGTAAGTATGTCGTTTTTATTCGAGTCTTAGTAAAGCTTTCATCACAAATGAACCAATCTCCGCTTAAAACAAACTTGCCCAGATGCGACTCATTAGCCAGCCTAGACCTAAATCTAGTACATGGAGAAGGCCACGCAGGGCAAGGAGAACTGGGCGGTTAGCGGGATCAATTTTCGGGCGACTTAATTGGGTCGTAGAATCGAGAAGAGAAACGGAAGCTCCTATAAATCCGCCGTTCTTGAGCTGGCTGCAGACGTCCTTGACAGCTTTCCTGTCTCCGACGAGCTGTTGTCTTCAATTTCGTATGTGTGTTGATGTCTACCCTCCTTCTTTCCCTTGCCATCTATGTGGCTCACCTAATATTTTGTGCACTCAATAGAGTCCCTTGCGAGTTTTTAATCTTAAAATACGCCTTTCTCACGGAGTATATGTTCCCTTTTATTTAGGCTAAACAGTTGTTGGCAATATCAATTATTCTTGTACAGTTCTACACTGTTCATGGCTGGAGGCCTTTACCAGGAATTCGATCCAAAAAAGTCGAAGCCCCATCCCATAAAATCATCTTAAAAACACCAGGATAGCAGCAAAAGGAAGCGAAAACGCCTCGAAAACGCCTCATCCTACCTTTCATTCGATATGGAATGTTAAATAATAGAGGTATACGCCATACGTCCCACATCAAATATCATACAATTAAAAATGCATACAAGCTTGAGAAAAAGAAGAAAATCTTCATACATACCCATCAAATAAATGCCCTCTGCTAGCTACCCAAACTTATCATAAACGGGTGCGAGATAATCACCGCCAAACTCCTCTCCCCATTTCCCAAAGCCATCGTTGACAAAACTTAACCCTTCCTTCCCTTTACACAAACTCGCCCAATCACACCACTCACCAGCACCCGTCCACACGTCACCTCCACCGTCACGCGTGTCCCGCTCGTCCATGTTGGCCCCGCGCGGAGCTGCACGAGCCGCGATGGGTTTCCGCGACGCACACATGGATTTGCGCAGTAGCGCGTGGAACCAGGGGTGGTACCACATGTGCTGCCACCAGAGGTGGAGAGAGTTGGGGTCTGAGGCCTCGGTGTTTGTGTGGAGGAGAACGGGAACGGAGGTGGAGTGGATGTCTGTGGCGAGGGAGAGGGTGTACCATGATTCATTTTGCGGGCTTGGAAGGTTATCGACTGAAGAATGGTAATGGGACGGAATTTGGGTCGTTAGCGGGTGTGGTGGAATGAAAGGGTTTCCGCACCTGGAGACATCGGCTGGTATGTTTATGCGGGACTCGCGAGGGACGCCGTGTCTCAGCTGTGCGGAGGAGAGTTGCGAGACATTGTTGTAATGTAACCATTCCAGGTTGTGATGGGAATGAGGGGACATTGTGAAGAAGAGTTGGGATTTGTAATCGAGGCCGATGGCAAATTCGTAACGACGTCCTGGGACCAGCTGCATGAATAGCCGTGATATGTCTACGCGTTTGAGGATTCCGAATAATTCGCCTATGAATATGTACCAGTTTGGTCGCGTGAGGTGTCTGTATAGCTCTCGGGCGTACTCCTGTTCGCCGAATATTTGAGCTAGGACACGCTGTTCGTCGGCTGGGATGGGGATTTTGGAATTAAGGTCCGCTGCATGTTCATATAGACGTTTCACATCGCCCACTAACCCGACAAATGAACCAGAATTTAGCCATCTGGGCCGGTTTTGTGCCACGTCTTTGCCAGTATCGGTCAGGGGACCGTAGATGTCTGGTGGTAGGTTGGAGTAAGGCACTGCAACACAGGAAGCATCGTGCGGAAGATCCGGCCGACAGACTTTATCAGCTGCAAAAATAATGCGCTGTGAGTATTTCTGTGTTGACTTCAGCGTGCCAGGATCCACATTTTTCGTGGCCTTCTCCGGAACAGAGCCATATCTCCACTTTATTATCCTGTTATGCCCTTTCAGCATGTCGTGGAATCGTTGGAGAAGTATTTCAGGCGGCAGTTGGAACCAGGTATCTTTGCCGTCGATAACCAGGATAACATCGTCATCTTTCAAATTCGTGTTCTTTGTGAGATACCTGTGCATAGCCAGTAGTGGATCCGCTCTCCCTGGCTCTTGCTTCCCTTCTTCAGGGATAAGCTCGTCTAGGAAAAGTACTGTTGGCGGCGGATAGTTTAGAATCATGGCGGTGGCTATTGTCCTGCAAATATCAGACTTATTGCTCGGTCGGCGGATGATGAGATGGAAGGAATGGTTTGGTTTTGTGAGGCCACTAGCGAATGTGCTATCTTCGTTCAATTTGGGAGGGGAGGAGTTAATGGCGGGCGATATCTCATCCTCCGCAAACGAGGTAACCGGCTGGGTAGGATATAGCTCAGGGATATCGTCATCCAATGTCTGTGGGGATATCAGCAGCTTGTGTCTGTTTAGCATTTCTGCAAACTACAACGTACCTGATACAGACTGATTCTGGACATCAAAAAAAGAACCACCATGATAACTGCAATGGCCCAGAGCGTCTTTGTCCTCCTTGACCTCCGCAGAGGCCTGGACAGCGTTGAGAGATATATGCCAGCGCCATCCCTCACGCCCTTATAATCCAGTACGCGCATACTGTTTGCTCCTAGCTAGAGGTAAGGTAGACTGTGTAGGTAAACAGCAGCAGCTTCGAATATGACTATCCGATCCCCTCACGCGCGAAGAGGCAAGAATGCCACATCTAATTGGCTATGGTGATAGTTTGTCAGAGGTGGAACAGTAAATGTAGAGCGCGTTAGCTATGGTTTGTTCACCAAGTCCCATGATGACGTAACTTTTTTGGTGTAACTAACTACGTAGTTAACTAGAACAGCTTCCCAGAGAATACTCTGTAAACAATTCCATTTACTTATCTGTGGGCTTAGGTAGATATATTCCTGTAGCATTAGATAGAGCAATGTCTAAGACTTGAACAAAAAAAATAACTCGCCGTTTGAGTACCCATATTCAATTACCCATGAATTCATAGCTCTATGTTTACCAGAGAATGGACCCATCTAAAAATGAAAGCAAACTATACAGTATTTACAGAAGCCTCTCATTCTCACTTCAATCGAGATATATCTCGTCCCGCAATCGCTGTAGATTTCGCAACAACCCACCACCACTACCACCAGCAGCAGATCTAGCAGCAGTAGTATTACCAACCCCATTCGTACTACTCCTGCTTTCCTGCGCCCCACCTACCTTCCCATCCCACCCAGCATTGCTATTCCCGGACAACCGGCCCTTCATCTCCCGCTCCCTTTCACTCTGCACAACTTTCCTCCGCTCCTCAACCATCTTCGCCAATCCATCCACAAACTTCATCCGCGCCTTCTCCTCCGCCGTCCCCTTCCACACGCCCGCCAGCTCCCGCAACGCCTCAACCCGCCGACTAGCTGCTTCCACCCCATCTATATCAATATCTTGATCCGTAGTCGTACCCGTGGCGTTATCCTTATTAAGCAGCTCCATGATTTCCTCCCGCAGCTTCCTTGCGACCTCCTTCCCTTTCTCCTCGCGACTATGTTGGTCCCCCGCGCCGGGTTCCGGCGCCGAGACGGAGATGAAGGAGGAGGCGACGGATATTTCGGAAGGGGCGAGGGGCCATTCCATGGCCTCGCCGAATGTGTGGATTACCTGTTCGAGCCGGGCACGCACGTTGGTTAGGGTGCGGAGTTGGGTGAGGTAGACCGGCTCGTCTACGGCGGGTTGTGGTTGTGGTTGTTTCTGGTCATCCTCTGTTCGTGTTTGAAATTGCGATTGCGATTTGGTAGCATTATCGGCTAGGTCGCCAGGTTTTGCTTGTGTTTCTGTCCCCGCCTCAGCGCCTGTGTCCGTCTCCGCAGGCGCATGTATATCCAATATCTTCCCACCGGGCACAAACCGTCCAATATCATCTACTAACCCTTCTCCTAACGCATCCGTCAACCCCACCACCTCTCCCCGCAACACTTCCACCTCATATGCCAGCCGGCCCCCTCCACGCAGTATTTCATCCGTCAGCTGCGTGAGGGTATTCGACAGCCGCACATTTTGCGCACTGAGTTGTGAGACGAGGGATTGAGTTTGTGCTGAAAGCGCCGCAAGGGAGACAGTGGAGGAGGAGGAGGAGGTGGTGGTGGTAGTGGAGGCGTCTGCAGCTTTTGGTATTGCTGTTGGCGTTATCGCTGTTGTTGTTTGGGACGAAGAGAGGGAGAAGGAGAAGGGCGGAAGGATGTTGTTTAGGTACTCTACTGGGTCGAAGGCGGGATCTGCGAATACGGAGAGGGTGGGGTCAAGGTGGGAGGATGAAGATTGCTGTGTCATCTTGGGGCCTTCTGGGGGTCCGTGTAGAGTGGCGGGGTCCATGGTTTGTGGGATCGGAGTATGAAATGAATGGGATAAATATGTGACGAACGTTATTCCGGTCTTGTTTGTTGCTTTCTTTTTGGGGTGCGTGGTCGGGACGGCTCCACGCCTTTTCAAGCGATGATTTGTGTCTGGGTATTCCGGGGCATTTGTATTAAAAGAAATGTCTATCAATTGAGCATTGGTTCCCTGGAAACCTCTGCGGTAGGATGTAGTATTTTTGTCCGTACCTTGTATGTGTAGACCGTAGCACAGATAGGCGGAAGTTGCTGCTGGCGTAGAGCTTAACTGGTTAACTGGTGATCACGACGGATTATGTAACTAACCCAGGTCAACCTTATCTCCTTGGTATTTTGTAAAGGATTTTCTTCTTTTAACCTTTTGGTAACCATTCTTGACCGTTTCCTGGCTTAAGTTGATCCTTATATTATTCTCGCCTTTTGGGCTGCTCAGTACATAACCAATGCGGTCAACCCTCAAACAGAGTTATTTTTAAGCTGCATAGTACGTTCAGACGCTATTGATGATTGTGCCAGAGCAGCGCGGCACCACGATGGTCAGAGCGGACGTCCTTGAGCTTGAAACAATTTTCTCCCGGAGGTCGAAATGAGTGCAAAGGCGTCGATATCCATACTGTGTATAAGAAACTTAAAGCTATCACATGTGGTATATACACAGCGCCAAAACCCAAGCATTTGCCCAGGTTAGTATTCCGAGCGAATCGCGTCATAAGTTTGAACCAGCGAATCCAGGTAGGGCCAAAGGCTAAATTTCGCTCTGCTGGATCGATGGTAAGTTTACCGGTGTGACAAGATGGTTTTTGGAGTGAACAGGCTTGGAGCTCGATCCTCCGTATTCGATGCGCCAATAAGGTACACTGGACTGGACAGGATCTGGAAATGCTTCATGAGAATGATCACTTAAAAAGGGAGTTTTTGATGATTTATTAGTTGTTTAGTTGGACAAACTAAGCAAAGGGGTACATGCAGGAGAAGAAAGCCTTTCAAAAATCGTTTCTTCCGCGCCAGCTGTAGTTGATTTGTATCTACCGACAGCTAGATATCCTTGACATCATTTCTGATATACTTGGGAATTCAATCTGGCTATGTCATTCATACACCACTCACAGTTTGCTAATCTGACATTCTTCTGTCTGTGTGTCTTTTCTGCATGCAGTTCAGTGAACTAATCAATGGTCACAGCCAATTGATTTCTAGTTCATCAAATACATCACAATCCACTGTTGCCTGAGTTGAGCTCTTCTGTTGTATCCACAAGACTCAGTTGCACCGCAACGCGCACTCCTCACAACAAGACACATTATGATTGTTTTTGTTTTTAGTGTTATTATTATTTTCTCTCCCCATGTGTAAACAAGGCTTAGAGAAATAACTTTTGTTGATGGGAAAAGGCATTCTCTGCTTCCTCCTACCATATTGTGGCGCAGGATGAGTTGCTAAACCAATTCTATCCAGCTCTTCATTATCTGCTCTCTGCAATCAATACATGTGCCTTACCTTTGCTTTAGCTTTTTCTGCCCATCCATGGGTTTGATAGTGGTCTTCTGTCGCAGAATACGCCCTCTAGAATGAAGAGAATATAGCTGTACGCCATTCACTCATCTTGTTTGCCCCTCTCAACCATCATACTCTTAGTTCTATAACTTTTTATTTGCCCTCTTTGAGCTGCTGATCAAAATAACACTGAATTTGCTTCGCTTTCAGATATTTCTCAAAGACAATTCAGAATTGAGCTCCTGAGGGTTACCTGGCAAGCAAGGCCTTCTGTATTGTTTGCAGAGTATCCCAATTTCTTCAGTTCTTTTTCTCTTTAGATACATTTCAACTCTTCTAGTCACTCTTTTTTTTTTTTTTTTCATTTCATGTATCTGATTGCATTGTCCTGCACACCTCATTTTATTCTCTCTGAGCTCTTGCACTCTCCACTCTCCAAAGTCCTGTTTTGCACTGTGACAGGGGGATCTTGAGAACAAACATGCCGAGGCTAGACTTTGTATGTGATTTGCAAGAGGCTTCAAGCCAAGGGAAAACCTCACACATGGTGAGTGTGAAGGCTGGTGACGATGATGGTGTTATTTCCTGCACATTTTCCCCAGATACCCCATCTGGGAAGCCAGTGGAAATTCAGATCCTCGTTTCCGGTATGTATGGATCTATCCCTGTTAATGAGGAAAACAAAACCTTGCTAATTAATTCATGATAGACCTATCTTTATACCCAAAGGAGCACGATTACTTTGTGTATACAACAACTGAAGATGTTCCCCAGGCGGTTACTGACGCGCTGGAGGAGGCCCAATCTTATCTTCGCGGCCTGTGCATCTCTGACATGCTCTTACAAATTACCAGCACCCTGGAGAAAGCTTTGTCTGCTGATTCAGGCAGTGATGTTGATATGCCAGATGTAGCTGAAGACTCCGATGATGAATATGGATGGTCCCCACACTCTCCTAAAATCACGGTGGAGCAAGCCGAAAACCCGGATACTGGCAAGTCGACCAGAAATTTAGACAATATCGTCCTTGCCAAAATGGCAGCGGATCTTCGCGCGGCCAAAATGGCTGGCTTCAGAGTGGGATATTTGGGAGATCCAGAGAATATAATTATCTGCATTTCGTGCCGGATCTCAAAGCTTGCAATATCTGAGGAAGCTATGCAAGCTTGGCATGTGAATGGAAACCAATATCTTCTCTGCCCTTATCCGTTATGTAGACAGATATCGGTCTCTCGAAGAAATTATGCAAGAAGAATCTGCGTTTGGGAAGGCTTATATGGAATTCCAGGCCGACCTGTGTGATTCGTACAAGCCTACCCTCCAGAGTGCGCTTATGGCATTCAACCGTTCCTCCTCCAAGACGCCACCTACGAACAAGGGGACAGACAGCCTTTCGCAGGCTGACGAACCGAATACTCGGAGGGTGACTCGGTCGTTCATCAGCAAACCACTCAATGCTCTTTTGAACGAACGTTTTATTAAGATCCTACGGTACAGACACACCTTCGGCTTCCCTTGGTCTGGAGCAGAAATTTTCTTCAATGATATACAGGGAAAGTCTCTCGGACATGCAGACCCGTCAGATCCTAAATATACTAGAGAAGAGAAGCTAGCTGCTTCATCGACCGCCCTACCGGAATTAGTAACCTCTGACCATCTGGTAGAGAAACTTGGTGATGGCGCCTCTTTTCCACTGATTACAATGCAGTTTGTACTCCGTCATTTCGTCCGGTGCACTGAGTTTTGTCTTGTATGTCACTGCAAGACAGAGAACGCGTTCGAGGCTCTGAAGCCATACGTATGCTCCAAAAGCCTTTGTTTATATCAGTTAATGGCTCTCGGATTCGGGCCCAGTTTGGAATGGGAAATCATATCACAGCCCGATGTTGTGGATCTCCTTGTTAACTTCACCTATGCCAGTGCTAAACTGGGCCGGTTGGATGACTTCCCCACTGGACTTGGGCTTTTGGTTCCCGCTGTTGAATGCTATTCTCGTGATGTATCACTCGTGGGCTCCGGACTGAGCTCCAAAACCAGCTTATCAAGTGGAAGTGTGCACCAAGCCAAATTTGACCAATCAAAGTTGGAACTTCTTTTCCCAAGTGGCCGTGGGAATTGCCCTGTTCTTGCTGGGGATTGGCTTGTAATGTGCAGCCGTTTGTGCAATGGACAGTTCCATTGTCGGGTGCAGGACATCTCCTTCTTCCCCACGGTTAAACTGTCTAGCGTCATCACTCGCCGCGTCTCAGCGTCAGCCGGCTCTAAACCGGGCTCTAATGACAACCAGCCCAGCACCCCATTGGGATACCATGATGTCACATTTTGTATCTATAACCTTAACTTCGATGACATCGAGACCCCTGAGAAGCAGTCTACCATTACAATGCTCCTTGATACATTGCCCAGTGTCGATGCGATGAGGGAGTTCCTGATGAATACCACCAATAAAGCAGAGCCTATGCTTACCGATTGGCGCGGCAGGATCTCCAAGTCAGCTTTGGATGTGCTGCGTTGGATTGTTGCTTCAAACCGTTCATGCATCATCCAAGATGGTCACACGGCAGATGGAGCATATAGAGATAGCGATCGTGTCTCTGGTATGGAAGGCTACATGCAGTTTAGGTTCGCGCAGGGGGCGCCTGACAAGGAACAGCGATTCATTCAGGCAGTCGATGCCGCAACCTCAAGACTAAACCTCAAATACCCGACTATTTTTGCCTGGCATGGAAGTCATATTTCAAACTGGCACGGCATCTTACGCGAGGGTTTGCATTTCCGAGAAACACTTAACGGCCGTGCGTATGGGGATGGCGTATATATGAGCTCCTTTTTCAGAACATCGTCCTCTTACATGAGAGGCTGTCAAGTAGCATGGCCACAGAGCCGGTTGAAAATCCAATCAGCAATATCCCTGAACGAAGTCGTCAATGCACCCAACGAATTCGTGAGCAAGTCACCTCATCTTGTCGTAGCGCAGCTGGACTGGATACAAACGCGCTATCTGTTTGTTAGCTGTCAGTCTGTTGAAGTCTGCGCAAAAGATCCCATGAAAGAGCATATCTCGTCTGCTTGCCATCTGCAAGACCCTGGATATACTGCCCAAGGGCCAAATGGAAATCCGATTCGAATCCCCTTAACGGCGATTAGCCAAAAGCGCCGTATTGGTGGGAGTACCCCTAAGGTCCAGCAAGCAAATGCTGGGGACATCAATGCTACTCCGCTAGCAATTAAGAGTTCTGCTGATACGCAACAGCAACCCACGAAGGAAGCACTTCAGATCTTCGGTGACGGCCGTTCCATTTTTCGACGTGCCGGAATATCAAAATTCGATAAATTTTCCCCAAGTACTTCGGCAAAGACCTCAGATGCAAGGGAAGACCCATCCACATCAGATGGCTATATCAGTGAAGACACTGATGACGACGATATCCTCATACTACTTGAAAACCCCGAGAACCGGTCCCACAAACAGAGCAACAGCAATAACAGTAAAGGCAACGACAAAGGTAAAGCTCCAGTCCGCGACACACCCATCACAGCCACTACCATCTACCCCTCCGCCCCGAAAACCGACTTCGTCCCCGGCACCCTTATCGCAGCTAAACTTCCGCTCCTCAACCAACCCAAAACAGCAACACCATGGAGCACTAAAGCCCTCCTACGCGACTTCAAAACCACCCTTCAAACTCAAGATACCCACCCCCTCCACGAACTAGGTTGGTATGTCGACCCGAGCATAACCAGCACAATCTACCAATGGATCGTTGAACTGCACTCCTTCGACCCTTCGCTCCCGCTCGCCACAGACCTCAAGCAAGCCGGTCTCAAATCCGTCGTGCTCGAACTCCGCTTCCCAAGCGAATACCCCATCTCCCCGCCCTTCGTGCGTGTCATCCGCCCACGCTTTCTCAGCTTCCTAGCCGGGGGGGGCGGCCATGTCACCGCCGGTGGCGCCCTGTGCATGGAACTTCTGACCAATTCGGGCTGGTCAGCGGCGTCGAGCATCGAGAGCGTGCTGTTACAGGTGCGCATGGCGATTTCGAGCAAGGAGCCACAACCAGCGCGTCTAGTTCGTGGGCAGAGTGTCAGTAAAGGGACTGTGAGGGATTATGGGGTTGGGGAGGCGGTGGAGGCGTATATCCGGGCGTGTCGGATGCATGGGTGGGAGGTGCCGAAGGATTTCGCGAGGATGGCGACTGGAGGCGGGGGAGGTGTGATGTAGAGGGATTGAAATTGGAGGAAGATTTTTGCTTTTTGCTTTTTTTGTTTTTGCTTCCACTTTTCCCCTTTATTCTTTCCACATCGTTTTTCTTTGTTTTCGTTTCATGGCTTTTGGTTGGGCGTGGTTGGCAATGGAGGGTGTTTGGCTGATTGAACTCCCGGAAATTCCCCTTTGTTGCTGAGATGCTTTTCGATTTTCTATGACCTTTCCTTGAATGGCTCAATGGCGCTTATTGCAGGATTTTGTGTTTTCTCTTTTTATTTCGTTTTCAGGAATGGATGGATGGATGGATACAACGAGATGCAGCTCTGTAATTGCAGGTTTTTTTTGTGAATAGTTGGCTCTCTTTAGATAGAGGATAAGGAACTGTTAGAGTATATGAAATTTGATTCTTCTCCTCTCTGCATGTTGTTTTTCTCCTCTTTAATCAAAGGTCATTTTATCAATAGTTGATGCACGGAGGAGTCTAGTACAATATCATCAAGCATTGATGATGTCATTTTGAAACTCAATCGGCGTCAGAATATTTTGTGGAGCTTCAACCACCAGCCTCAGAGATATGCGAGGACACATTTCACGTATCGGGGAGACATATACGTATAATTACAAGTATCCCCGCCTGATTTTCTTTTCCCATTCTTTTCTCTTAAGTTGATCTAGCATCGTCGCGATGTAGGTGGTGTTGTATAACCCTAACCTCCTCATCGCCAATTCAGACCCAAAAAAAAAAATCCCAATCTCAACAACCACAAATCGGAGTCTCCAGCTCCTACAAAAACAACCCGCCTCTCTTCGCTTTGCCAACCATGAACCCGCGCCCCTCCAAATCCCCCTCTCCGCCGCACATTCCCCACCAGAACCCACACTGGATCCATAGTCTCACTCTCGACCTCATCCTCCGCGTCCTGCACAGATCGATCTTCCACCCTTTCATAGCCTGGCTCATCCCTCTCTGCCTCCGTGCCCAAGCAACTCCGTACTCTCACACCTCCTTCAGAGTGACAACGGCTTATGCTACACTCCTGTCGCTGCTGCTGCTGCTGAATGTGGTGAGTAAGCGTCTCACATATGGGCCGCCGAGGGAGGTGTCGTTGGAGGATGAGGTTGTGGTTGTGACGGGGGGTGCGAGTGGGTTGGGCCTGTTGGTTGCGGAGATCTACGGGATGAGGGGGGTGGGTGTGGCGGTGTTGGATGTGCGGGATATTGGGACGGAGGATCAAAGGGATGGGAGCGAGAAGGCAGTGGAAGAGTGGGAGGAGATTCATAGCGTTAGGTATTTTAAGTGTGATGTGGGTAATTTGGTGGAGGTGGAGAGGGTTCGGGAAAGGATTGAGAAGGAGGTACGTTTTCGTTATTACCAAAACTGCCTGGGAACTCTTGTTCAATTGTTGCTTTATATTGAATAGCTCACAGCCAATGCATTCGTTTCATTTATAAATATATTTTGACCCATGCTAATTTTATCTACCAGCTTGGAACGCCGACGATTCTCATAAACTGCATCGCTGGCCCCATCAACGGCGCGCCGATAACATCCCTCTCCCCCGCCGCCATCTCCTCCACCATTCACGCAAATCTATTCTCTTACTTCAACACCCTTCAGCAATTCCTCCCCGGAATACTGTCTTCTCCAACCGGCGGTACAATCGTCACTCTGGGTTCCGTCTGTAGCAGCCTTACCCCAGCTGGCCTCTCGGACTACACAGCAACGAAGGCAGCTATCGGTGCTGTGCACAAGACCGTGGAGGCTGAGCTGCGCGTCACAGGCGACTACGAGCGGGTGAAAATGCTCCTAGTTGAGACGGGCCAGATGGCCACGCCTCTCTTTGAGGATGTGAAGACTCCGAATAATTTCTTCGCCCCTGTCCTGGAACCTGTGCAGGTTGCGCGGGAGATTGTCGCGATGGTGGATAGTGGGAACGGTGGGGTTATTAGGTTGCCAGCTTATGCGACGCTGGTAAGTTGGTATGCGGTGCTCCCGGTGGCTATTCAGCGGCTGGCGAGGTATTTGAGTGGAATTGATAAAGCGGTGGGCGAAAAGGCCATAACGTCATCTATGTCGGTCCTATCAGAGAAGGAGAAGGAGACAAAAGGATAAAAACGGGTCGTTTTGGAAAAGTGTGGACAGTGAGGTAGAATTGGATGGGGTTCAGTATGGGTGTGCTGCATGGCCCCTGGGGAAAGAGTTGTATCTATATATGCGTGTAGAGTTTGCGCGATATAAATTGATAACAATGTCAATTTGCTCCTGGTGAGCGAATTT